GAAATTTACCAAAAAAAAAAGTAAGTTTTGTGTACTTTTACATATAAAATATGCCTTCCAGCTTAGACTCCCTGGTAATATGCTGTAGCTTACGAAGGGCTCTGTATGTATACAGAGTATGAAGCACTAGTGCTTGAAAATAGCCGTATAAATAGTTTTTAGAATTAAAAGGGAGGTACCGATTATTTCATGTTGAAGATGATAGTACACAGTAATACCCGTTCTGAAATAAAAACTATATGGAATTTTGAACTTGTTTTTATGCGCAGTCTTCATATAGAGTTGAAACAGCTATCACATCCTTTTTGTGTGTTTCGGATAAAAAAATATTACGTATAAACATTATCGTAGATTTTAGGTACCATAAATCAAACCACACCTAGGTGTCTGATGATTATAATTATGCTTGAAGCAAAGATAAAGGGTAAAAATTGCTAAACAACTCTTCTCTCATTTCCCATTAAAAACTGTTACTTTACATAAAAAGTTGATGTAGGCCTACAAGTGTTTACATATTTATGATCCTCCTCGAAATTTATAACCACTCAGTGGAGTATGGGAAAAATTTAGAGTTTTTATATGTTTTTGATTAGTTGTCTCTATGATTTAATGCATTTGTTATACATTTCAGACAGAAAAATTTACTTTTATATCCGGATAAGAAAAACAAACAAACAAAACTACAAGACATACCTTTACAGAATATTGTCCCTATTGAAAATGATAGTTCCGATTGACTTGGTAACCATTACATCGCAGAGTACATTAAATAAGCTTTTTTGAATATTTAACATAAAAGAACAGAGATACTGAATTTTGGCAAGCGTCCAAAATTCCCAACTTTTTTCTCTGTCTTTTTTTATACACAAGCTTCGGTACATCTCAAATATTTTTTGGGTGTAAATCAGGGAAATAATATGACTGCTTGGATGTACAGAAGAGAGTAAAAAAAAGATTGAATATTTTTGACTTTTTGGGGGCTCCCAATATTATCTATGAGATGAAATGCAATTATATATTCTATTCTATGCAAAAGCAATCCATGAGTTATCTCCAACCAATATTTTTTTTTTTTATGATGAAATGAGTAAAGCAAGGTAAGCATTCTCAGGGTTGGTTCCTGTAAGGGGATCGTCTCCTTTTTTTCTTTTTTTTATACATTTCAAGAAGTTTCAGGGCCTCCAATTCTCCCCTGAAAATTTCAAGGTCCGACCGTTGTTTTGAGGTGGCAGTAGCCCTTTTTGATGTCAACCAAAATATTTATTTTTTTCACCTTACCTTAGAAAATTGGCAGTTGTGATGTAATGATTAGAGTTAATAAGATAATGAGATTATTTTCTGGAACTTTGTTAAATTTCACATAAGATAAGACCAACCTTCATTTTTTCAGAATAATTTTTAAAGGCAAGCGTCAAAAAAACAGTAACAATTTTTTTTTTCATACAAATAAATAAACATGATATGCTGCTCATATGGAATATTTTCTTTTCTTTATGTTTTTATAACATATAGTTAGTTTGAACTAGGAGCAAAAGATTTTGAAAATGCTACCCCCCCCCCCCAATAGGGTTGCCAAATGATCCAGATCACCACCAAAATTTAATGGAATTTTAGTTAGGCTAAGACACACCTCAGGTTAAAAAAAAATATATATTAAAATCTGTCCAGAACTTTTTGAGTTAGAAAAAAAAATCCTGGATCGAAACCATGGTCTGCATCACCACCAAAGTGCAATTGGAGTCTTAATAATCTTATTAACATTTGTTCTTAACTTTTAGAAATATCAGAAAAAACAGACAAACAAACAAACAAAAGACAAGAAACAAACAAGCAAATGCAAATGGAAGTAACAATATAGATAAACAAAAGGTCATGGGATACAAGAAAATTATCTATATATTGTTACATACCTTATATATATATTTTTATACCGCCCTGTACTGTATACCATCATTTCACAGGAGTCTGAGTGTGAAAATTGGCCAAGTGGCCCCGTAGAGTTAAACACCTTGGATCATCAGGTGAAAAGACGAGTTAGTCATAGTCCGGCGACGCCCTGCCGCACTGAGAACGGGACGCGGATGATACCCGTCCGACTGGAGAATGATAATTTTTCGACTAGTATTATACATTGTAAAACTCCATTAGAGCAACAATAATCGATAAATCATCAATGATGTAAGACATGACAAGTATGAAGTATTGAAATGGAATTATGATTTAAATAAATTGTACGTTTTGTATGGTCCCGTATGTTTGTGGAAGTTATCGTACATCATACGAGTCGTGGGACGATATCTTTGTTTTGCGAGGAAGGTTGCAATCAGCTCGCATCATATTTTGTTTGACCAGTGTGTCTTTATGAAACCTAAGGAAATGTTGAGAATTGATCATACCTTCATACCGTGGTAGTGTCATATGTTCGTCTCCAACACATTCAAGTGCTGTTAAATGTACCTTTTGAAGAATAGACTCTTTTGAAATGAAGACACGTGTTTGA